AGAGCGGTTTTGGTCAACTGTAACCAAAGGGTTTCACTGTGTAAAGATGACTATTTACAAGCAGTAGCCTGACAGACGCAAACAGGAGACAGAAGTTATAAAGTTCCTTCCTCTGCAGCAACCAGAACTAATGCATTGGAAAATCCCAGAACACAATTTAAAATTTTTCTCCTTTACTTCAGCTGCTTCTTTGCGTAAGAAAGAGATATGAATCATGCTGCCTGCCTGCTTCCCTGTATCCGTGTAGGAACCCATTTTCATTTTCCAGTGCATCTGACAAAGAAGCAGAGAGATCAAACTTCATTTCATTCTTACAAGTCTCATGAGAAGCAGGGACTAGACAAGGGGAGAGCTATCTAAATTAGTGCCTCATTAAGTAAAAATATGAGGTCAGCAGTCATCTCTTGCCTCTGGTTCGCTGACTGGGCCAGCGAGCACACATGGAGCTCACAAACAGCCTCAGCAAAACCAGCCCACCTTCCCTCTGCTAATTAAGAGAGATGAAGGAGAGTTGCAGGGTGCTTAGGAAAGATCTTGGGAGAAAGGGATTGCAGAGGTAAAATGAAGGTGTTGCAACGGGAGATGGGAACAAGGGATGCCAAATGCGGAGCCAGGGTTATTGCAAAGGTACGGTGCTGGGGGCACAGGATACAAAGCTTCACTAGTTCTTTTGCTCTTGAAAAAGCTTGTTATTTTTAGTGCTTATGGCTGAATTCAAAGCCAACTGAACTCAGAGGGAAGATTTCCACTGAACTATTTTTGTGGGGATGGGACAAAAATATACTTAGTTCTCATAACCGCTCCTCTGACTCTAACAAGAATAATTGATGCTGCTCCTTTCTCTCTCAGCCACGTAGCACGAGCATCATATACACACCTCAAATACTGAAATACTTGAATGTCTCCACAAGCAAAGCCAATTGACAGATGAAAAAGACGGAGAAACAACTAGGGTGAAGACTCATAAAAAGTCTGCACTCCATCTGCAAAACTGCAATCCAATTTAGATTTGGCAGATCGCTTCACCCGAAAAAAGAAGGCATCTGATGCCTAAATGTCAGTATTGTGTGAAGTTGCATTTGTAGAAAGATTATTGTTTGTCATTAATGCAAAGGCTTACCTTTTCTTTCACAGAAAAGTTGGTGTTGAATTTCTGGTTTTGAGATTGCTGGTAACAGACATGTTTTTGGAGTAAGTGCTGAGGTTGCCTTTGATGACACGAGACCTTTAAACTGTATTTGTGAAGTCAGGTGCATATATTAGATACTGTAGCACTATGACTAGAGAGAAAGCAGGGGATAGCCTAAACTAATCATTTCCACACAGCTAAACACCAGGTTTTATCAACACATTAGCAGGTAAGCACATTATTGCCTCTCTGCAACCAAAAAATGTTTTTATAGCAGATCCTTCCAGTTATGAATAAAAATAAACCTAGGAAAGAACCTTAGGAAATGCTAAGAGAATTCAAAGGCAATTACACTTAAAGCTCATTATTGAACATAAACTAAACCAACCAGGAATAGTTCTCATCACATTTATCTAATATTGCTGTTTCAGGGTGACTAAAAAAATCATAAGCCAGAGAAGAGGCACATCAGTGTAAAATATAATAACTCTCTAAAGATGCTCAGCTACGTCTTCTGAGGAGTTCATCGTTTGCTATTTTAAACATCACTGTCTTTTTTTGCCATCTAGTCAAAGTCATGACAGGTACTGTTCATAGCTTAGTTCTAATAAGAGGAAAACGTGTGGTAGAGATTTCATGATTTTCCCAAACCTTAACAACAACAAAAAAAAAGACACTGGAAAAATAACTAGGGAGTATTTTGCAAGTGTAAGCTGTATTTTTTTTTTTTACTCTCTCTCTCTCTCTTAAAAGCAGAGTTTCCAATAGCTTGCTTTAATAGGATTGGAATTATACCAGAACTTCGGGCAAATTTAAGAGCTCGTGGAAAAGAGAATGGAGAATGCAACTGCATACTTTTGGATGCTAACAGCTGGCCAGATACCAAAGGATTTACTTTCCTAAGTTAACTTCTTACCAACCCTTTCTTACAAGCTCTTGAGATATGAAAATGCTAATATTTTGTGAATGTGTGCAATGAAGATTCAATTCTTCTACATCATTGAGACAGGGGACAGGACTGGCTGAAATTAATGAGACTTTAATCATCTTGGCAGATCCTTATAGAATAATTTAATTATTTTATTTTGCAAGAGCAGTATCTTACTACCTTCTGGGAACAAGCAAGTTGTGAGCAGTGCAATGAAAGCCTGTTTCTCATAGTGTTATCATCCTCACCCCCTTGCACCTTAACACCTCTTTCAATATCCTGAATTCTCCCAGTCACTAAACACCCTCCCAGTACTCTCAGCTCCCCAGGTCACCAACCTGCAGCTTCACTGGGATACAACAGGTGCCAGGGCTGATCCTGCACCAAGCACATGCTGGATGGTCTGCAGGTATTCACCTGCCCTGTGGTCAGCAAGCAGGCCAAGCAAAACAGAGATGCTGAAGCCACAGCTTTCTGTTCAGCAGAGGGATTGACTGATGTCTGTTGGCCTCCTCCAAGCAGCTCTAGGTACCCACTTAGTTTTCCAATTATAAAAACCATCTAATGGGTTCAAAAGCTATCTGGAGACATGGAGAAGGAAAGTAAACCAAAATAAAAGAAAAAAAATGGATAGGCATGACTGCATAAGCATATGATAATTCCTACAACACTGGTCTTAAATATATGAGGAAGAATGCCGCAGCATCTGCAAGTAGTTGGAAAGCAATAACCCAGCAGAACTAACTGCTTAGGGTTGCAGATACTAACTTGAAATAACAGCCTGAAGGAAAGGTATGTTTAGCCTAAACAGCAGGATTATGGTCTTAGTGATAGGGGCTGTGAGATAGTGGAAAAGTATGTGAAGCTACGGACATGCCATGGACTGAATTCCTACAGCACAGAGAGAAGTTTTGTGTTGGCTACACTTAAATGGCATCTTCCGTTTTACGTGTTTCTACTACTACAAACATTATTAGCGGATGACAACGACACTGAGGTTACACCAACAGTGTCCATTGCCGTTGGTTTTGGCTCTCAGACAAATTTCTGCAACTGCATGTCTAAAACGGAAACGCAGAGGGACTGTGTGTCCCTGAAGATGTCCCAGTGGAGAGTCCGGACCTTGCAAAAAAGTCAGGATGCGATGAGGTTGCCTGGCCACATGCTACCTTCTCTCAGGGAGGTCTGGTAGGCAGTCACCCACTACACTGACCCTTGCAGGGCTGCCTGGGCTCTCCCAGGGCTGGAAAGTGCAAGATGCTGGGCAAGAACCCAGCACCCCTAGAGTCTGGCAGGACAGGACACTGGCATACAATGACTTCCTTCCTCGCCTGATGCACTCAGCCTCACGGAGTCACTCCTGCAGGCATAAGCCTGAAGGGTGCAGAGTCCAAATTATTTTGCCTTTCTAGTGACCTCCAGCCAGAAGAGCACCCACCTTCTGCTTGGTTTTGTCAGGCTGACCCTGTGGGCCTTGCACACCTGAAATCAAGACTGAATTCAGTGCAATCCTTCACCTAAGACAAACGGGAGGAATCAGCCTCGTCTCACTTCTCACAGTTATGCTTGACTTAATTATTCTCTAGTTCTATTATGAATGTTTATTTTCAAGAAAAGTGTGAACTACCTTGAGATACCTCAGTAAAATACCAGAACTCGTTAGAGCATTTTACAACTCAAGGCTGAATTCAAGCAAGCTTGAAAAAGCCTTGACTCATGCTGGACTGTTTCTGCAGAAGAACACTCGTAACACTGTTACACCAACAACGGGCTTTGCATCCTCGTCTTGTTTCTTCTCTGTCTTTGCATTTTAATTCAGTGATTTTTCTTTAAATAACTTCTACCCACTATGCCTACAGTACCTATTGATATGGGTAACTCTCAATAGTAATTTCCCATTTATGTTAAACGTTAATCATGGACTTTTGCTGAGATTTCTGAAGTAGCCTAAGAGACCGAGATACGTAATTTCTGTTCCTTTTACCAGGCATTTTGAATCAAAATTCCCAAAGGTGGCTTTGGCTATGTCAGCAAGACCTGTATTTATGATTTAATATAAATATGGAATTACTATGGAGAATCATAGACAAATCTCTGCTTTCATCTGTAATATCCTACAGTATTTTGCTTTTTAATTTCTGCTCATTTGACCAATCACTTTTATCTAGCACATTGCAGAACACACTGCAATGTAGCAGTGGATGCCATACATGGGTGAAACTAATGAAGAAAAACCTCGTAGCAACAGCAAGTATTAACAGTATTAGATTCTTGCAGCTAATATACCAGCCTACATGTATATTGTACCGTTCTGTCCTGAAGAGTCAGTCCCAAAGCACTTAGCAAATTACGCTCTGAAAATGCTTCTGCCTCTGAAACAGAAGTGTTGGAGCATCCTCTGTTTTTTGCACAGGGTCAAAATTCAGCCCTAAGGCAGGGTGTAAATGGTGCAGTGAATTGGAGCTGCTTAGCTCTGCAGGTCCTGACTAAAATTACTAGATCAGAAATGAGGGGCAGAAGGGGGGGGAGGTTATTACCTCATTTTAGTGCACAAAACCTTCTGGAGTAACTCACAGAAAACAAGTGTCCTAGTTTCCCTCGACTGTCCTGTTCTGATTATCTGCCAGGTTACAAGTCACACTGATTCCTGCCTGGGACTTAGATTCAGCATTTGCTTTGGAGTCGAAAGGGAGAGCTTGGGTTTCTTTTGCAGCCTCACCTATCTACTCTTCTATTAGTTAGAAGACCCCACACCACACAGGCCATGCTCAATGATTGCAGTGTGCTGCTTTCTGCAGGAATGATGGACAATCAGGAAGGACATACAGTTACAGCCCTCAAGATTTTCTCCATGTGGTAATACTTTATTGAGTTACAGCCATGTCGAGGCAACTTTAAAACCAGTCCTACACTATCTAAGCCCTCTTCATTTCTACCACAAAGTCCAGGAAGTTTTGCTTTAGACCACAGTGAAAGCAGGATCAAGCTTTCCCAAGGTAAATAAATCACTGTGCAGCTCTTTGCATCTTTTGTAGTGTGCAGTGCTATGACCTTTTATATATCCACTATGGTCACAGGCATCTGCCTGCCTACGTAGGATACACACCAGGGTCAGGGCTGTTTTGTTTACTGCATAGACAGTCATCACTCAAATGTTTGGTCTTTCTCCTAGTTCCAGTCTGGAAAAAAATCACTTCGCTTAAAATAAGAAACTGATCTGCATCTCCATTTTGTATCTTCTTATAGCAAGGGACTGAGAGGTGTGCTTGTGAATCAGCACGTTGGGAGGATTCTTTTTTTTTTTTCCTGGTGAAATCATAAACAATTGTTCTCCTCCACAAAAAAGAATCAACCTACGTTTCCACAGCACTTGTGAAATGCTTTTTCTAGATTCCATTGCATAGCCCAAATTTGGAAAGTTCTTAAGATCTCTGGCTCTAAGAAAAAAAAAACCCATATAAAAAACCAAGGGGTTTGGTTTGGTTTTGAGTTGTCTTTTTTTCCTAAGAGCTATATTTCTTCAATATAACTTTCAGAACGTCACCAACAGGAAAGCATCCAAAGCAAAAAAAAAAAAAAGAAGGAAAAAGGATTCCTTGTCTTTTGCTTCAGGGAAACACAATTTCTAATTATTCTAGCAAGTTTAAAACTCAGCCATCCTTCTGAGCAGTCACGATCTTTGCTTACTCCCAAGGGAAGCCTGTACCAGCTAGCAGCGTGCACCCAGTCCTGCTGGTGTGGCTGTGCACTACTGCCTGCACTGCCCAGGTGAGGGGGAAGGTGCAAGGCACAGAAGCAGGGAACACTGCAGCCCAGGCTCTGCTGCACCCAGGTCAGAGCACTCAGCAGCTGCAGGCCTGGTCTGAGCTCCCTGTAACCCCCAAGCCTGCCCGCTACAGCATAAAGAACTGATAAGTAAGCACGAGCAGGAAAGCCAACCTCTCCCTTCCCCCTGACACCAGCACGTTAAGATAAAAATGCAGAGCCCACTTGTTTTGTTCAGCTGCTCCACACCACATGGAGCCAAGGTTTTTCATTTCCTTAAAAAGCCCACGGCAAAAATTCCAACGTGACTGGCAACTCACCCAAAGTGGCTGGCTAAACTCATGGAAATGCAGAAGAGGAAGAAGTTTTTGATCATGATAAAGCCAGAGACCATCCCATTGTCCATCCCAGAGGAGAGGAGGAACGCAGGTGGTTGCTTTGGTTAGAGGTGCAGCTGCTCACCTTGTTCTTGCACTGCAACAAGACAACAGATCAGTTATGAGAGGGGCCAACGGCAGGACGGCCCAGTTCAGCTCACGCCGCATCTCCTGCTGTCTGTGCTTTTTGCAAACTTATCTAGGCTTATGTAAACATCAGCTGTTTATGTAAAATTGTACATCTTTCAAGGACACGTTTCACCTGCTGCTGTCAGCGAGCTGCAAAACAGGAAAAATTCTTAGTGGCCCAGTTTCCCCTTATACTTGCCCGTCATGTAAGTAACCCAAGAAGGACTCACCACCTCCCAGCTGCCAATTTCGACCCTTCACCTAATTTCAGCAACTTCCCCACGCCTGCAAAGCCCGGGCTGGGTGCAGCCTCCGCATCCTTCCCTTCCACCGCGATTGCCTCCCATTAAATACCCGTCTCCCCTTTCCAAAATCCCGGTTGGAAATGCCAAGCAACACCTACTGCTCCTTGGAATCCAGGCTGCCGGGGCACCGCTCAGCAAAAGGGAGAGGCTGGGATGCGGGGGGCACGGAAGGGGCTGGGGAGGGCGAGTAAAAAGTGACCTTCCTTGCAAAGGCACAACAGACCCCACGCTAGCTTGAAGAATGACAGTAGTGGAGCTATTCCAGGGACTGCCACTGATTCGGGTACCTGCCTCAGAGACCAGTCACCAGTTTCGACATCGTGCACTAACGTTTTCCCTCTGTGCCCTATTCAAAG